ACCTTAAAATTACTTATTAGACACACAATATTAGACACACAAATAATCACGTCTAGTGATTATTACAATCATGTTTATTAGCAACAACACTCCATACTTGGTTTAGTATGTGCTAACTTAATCACAAAATTTCAAGTCTCTACAAAAGCTTTCTCCAGCACATCACGTCTACATCACAACATTCACAAAAGATGGCAAACAACACCTTAGCTCCCTCGCTAAGGAGGCATTATTACAGTGGGCTTTATTTTCCAAAGGGATGTTTCTGTAATTGAAACATCTTCTTTCAAAATCATACCTTAGTTAGAACCATAATCCCTCCTTCATCATGGGACCATTCTTCCCTTACACAGAGGTGTCCTTTTCCTAACTAAAAATCAGGAAATGTGACAACACATAGCAGATTTTGATCCTAGAGGTAAACTATGCCATGCTTCACCTAAGAAAACTCAAAAAGGGAGTGATTTTCAAGTTTTGTATTCGGAAAACCTTTGCACCAGGGAATAAGCAAAACCTTAAATAACCTAGATAAGCTAAAGTAATTGCAAACCATGGGGTGAGCTGAGAGCACTGCTAACAGATGGACACCTCTGGGAGACACTGGGGGTGCATGGTCCTGCAGTTCTCTTCAAAGCCAGATCTGTACTGAAATGAGTATGATTCACACTTCTTCAAAGGCACAGCAGTGCTGAAAGTGTAGAGATTTTTCCAAAGAATCTTGCCTGCAGGAACTGTCATTCTTCCCCACTGCCCTCATCAGTGCTGCCCTAAAGGAAGCACTATTTGGCATTAGGACAGTAAATATTCTCACAAGTTCACAGTTTTATTTCATCCTATGCCCTGTTCTCAGCACTGGATGAAGTGCTTGGATAAAATAGTTTCAGTGAGCAAAAAGCAACAGGCAGCCTCTCTTGCTCTTTCCCCTCTAAACTGCTAGCCCAAAGGCTATTTCTATGTATTTTAAACTCTGAAAAATACATCCATTGCCCCATTCTGAGAATGTTCAGACTAAGGAGAAAAAAGGTTGTTTTTCCTGGAGTCACACTGGAAAAATATTACTGTGTTTGTATAGCGCTCATGTGATTTAAATACATGATTAATAATTTTGCTGATCATAGAAGTAGTAAAAAATAGTTTCCTTTATATAATTGTGTGAACACAGTGGGTAAAAAAAAAAAAACAAAAAACTTCCAAGTACAGTAGTATATTTTTCATGAGTACTATCAAACCCCAGTTTTCATCACAAAAGTCCTGACCTTTCCCCTATGAATTTCCAGGATCCCTGCTTCAAACATGATTGTGTAGCTAACAAATTTTCAAAACCCAGACCCCCACATACTCAGCTGCACTTTACTTTCACATATAGTAGTCCCATGATGTCACCTGATTTCAGCATGCAAGTACAATGATTAGAAATCTAGTCCCAGAATCCAGTTCAGCACAAGTCAGTACACAACACATTATTATCCATTACAGTATGTACCTATCAATTACACATTTAAAAATATGGGATTTTTAAACTTTTCTGAGCTATCTTAAAAGCAGTATCAGAAGCACAGTTCAAGACACAGACAGATAGCTTGGCAGAAATTATTTTCTATTTATTTTTTGCTAAGAACACAGAAAAAAAATGTGTAATCATAACTCTCTGTAATACTTTGTGCCATGCTTCACTTGGGGAAGCCACTGATTGTTTATGCTGGGCTAGTACAGTCCTAGTTCTTTCAATCAGCATTCAATTAGGCAGATTATCCTTTTAACATAGGCTATTTTTTAGTTTTGTTTGCCCCACATTTTGTCTTTGAAAGTATCATAGTGGGTTTCCTGTTCCATCATGGGGTAGCGTCGTTATATTTTAAAAAATATAATATCTCTTGAGCATTTCAAATCCCAATTCATAGATTTTCAACACTTCCTGCAACTCAGACTTGTTTGATTTTGGGGGGGTTCAGGCTTTTCCTTCCCCACTGTTTCTATTTCACACAGAAACTGAAATGGTGAAGAGGACCATTTATGACAGATACTTTATGAACACAGAAGGAGATGATCTGCAAGTTCTCAGGAGCTTGGACTGTCTAAATAGGCAAAAAAATGGCAATAATTTTCTAAAATTCACAAGGCAGACCAACAGCAGAGATTAATACTAAGTTTTCTGTCTCCTAGTCCAAAGTCATCTACTAAAACAAACATTTTTTTAGTTAAGAAAACACAAGCAAAACTCATTCTGCTACAAAAGAAGGGAAAAAGATTTCCTCCTCAGCAGTATAGTTACAGAGAAAGCAGATAATGTTTCCCCAAGTAGTTAACAGAGGTAGGTAGCAGACTGAAAATGAAATAGTAAAGCTAAGGTTAGAACTCCACACTGCATAGGATACAGCTGGCTTTGAAAAAATGATACATTAGTCAAAGATGACATTCAACTCATTTGAATTCCATGGCTATTTGCAGTCCCAGATCACATGAGCATATAACTCAAATATTGTGTTCCCACAGGATGTAAAATGATGCCATATGAGAGAATAATATCTTATTACATTCTTTGTATAAAGCAAATGAAAACATTTTATGGCAGAAGCATTAGCAGGGACTCAAACTTAGTAGATCAATGGTGGTACAGCAGTACCACAATTTTGCTCTTGGTTAAGTAGTTGTGCGCATTCCCAGGAGACCTTCTTGTGCACTGTATTTCCTTTACAACAGTAGTATATTTTTAAACCTTTTCTTAATATGATGATTTCAATTTCTTATATGATTATTAAAAAAAATTCTGCTGGTCACAATATAGATGCAACAAATTTTGTAGAACTGACACTAGAACTTATATATATTCAATTGTCTAAAAACTCTAAAACACTGAAATACAAACATATTTAGCAATATTAACACTAGAGCTGTCTGTTAAAAGTTGTCATGTTCCATGCAAAGAAATACACAAAATAACCCAAATGTTACACAGCACACTGCTCAAAGGTTATGAGATCTCAAGAAGTGGGTTTGCCTGTGCAACCTGAAAGCAAATCTGATTTTCCCTGTGACACAGGCTTTTTGTGATTTTGTATCTTTTATACTTTTTATAGCCTTTGTATTATTGTCCAATTGGCACCCAGACCTTGGACAGAAACTTCAATTTCTTCCTGGATTTAGCCATGATACTAATAATCTAGAGAAGCTGAGGACAAAGTGAAGAGAACACAAGTGTTCTCTGATGAAAAGCCTAAGGCAGAAAAATGTTCCTTAGGCATTTACAATTCTGTCCAGAGCTGTATGCTTCTTTTACTAGATACAGCCAAGAGCAAGTAGTAGGGTTCTGAAAACATTAGAAAATACCTGCTTCGAGTGACCAGAGGAGCAAAAAGTAATCAGGAGTAATCAACCTGTTAAGAGCTCTGAGAGTCTGTGAATTGGTGCCAAAAACACTGCATTAAGGCCAAAAGACTCATGTGTAAAGACTTAACAGAGTCTTCAACCAGGAAATATGACAAAGTAGCCTAAATAATGAGTTCAGTAGCAAGGCCAAATCAAGGAACAGCTAACACCACCTGATCCTTATGGCAGGACCCAAGCAGCATACTCTGGTTCATACAGACTGGGTTCATTCTTCCAAGGTAGAGTTCTTCACTGATAGATATTTCAACATTTTAGTCTAATTAATTCTCTAAGTGCCCATAGACCATGGCAAAATTCATCTTTCGTGGCACACATTACAATTCTTTGTAAAGATCAGTAGATAATAATAGGTATTTTATTAAAAATGAAGGCAAACGCATTACTGGTGAACACTTGTGATTTTACCCCCACAAAAAAACCCTCCAAACAGCAAAACCAGTTCCTCAGTGTACCATTCAAATTTACTAACCTCCTTTTTCTGGTTGAAATGCCCTGTTTTAATCACTTCATACCTCTAATGTCAGCAAACAGAAACAATTATTCCACTTTCCTTATTCATCTTCAGAATATAGTCCATCCATCCCATGCATTGAATACATTCAGTTCTCTATGGAGAATACCAAACTCCCCTCCACATTCACAATTTTCTATAAAATTCAAGCCCTTATTAGAAGGTATGAGAGTACTTGAGTTACCAGTGGAAAATACATTTTAAAAGCTTTTCTTCAGTACGAGAAAAATTAAGATTTTCTCAGGAATGAGTGGAACACTGTCATTGAAATTTCATCAGTCAAGGTTTTCCTGAAGGACACCTGAAGATGTTCCTCAGAGTGACAATGGGTACATATCCAAGACAAATAGTTAAAGTTTCTCAAACTAATATATAAACAGAAGATAAGAGAGGATCTTTCCATAGAAAGTATAAAGTAGTGTTGAATTCACATAGTCATTTCTACTTATAACAACAGAAATGCTTTTTAACATGTTTGCTGTTTTTTCTGGGATACAGTTACTTTTCTTCGTAGTAGCTAGTAAGGGCTGTGTTTTGAATTTGTGCTGAAAACAGTGTTGATGAAAACACAGAGATGTTTTTGTTACTGCTGAGCAGCACTAACACACAGTCAAGGCCTTTTTTGCTTCTCACACTGCCCCACCAATGAGTGGACTGGGAGTGCACAAGGAGGTGGAAGGGGACACAGCCAGGCCAGTTGAGCCAAGCTAATCCAAGGGATATTCCATACCACATGGTGTCATGCTTGGTGTTTAAAGCTGGGGGAACAAGAAAGCAGTGGAGGAATGTCCAGAGTTATGACGTTTGTCTTCCCATGTCACTCTTACTCATGATGGAGCCCTTCTTTCCTGGGAACAGCTGAACACCTGACTGCCCATGGGAAGCAGTGAATGAATTCCTTGCATTGCTTTGCTTGCATATGCAGCTTCTGCGTTACCTATTAAACTGCCATTATCTCAACCCATGGCTTCTCTCAGTTTAATCCTTCCAATTCTCTCCCCATCACAGGGGTAGTGAGCATGCGGCTGCGTGGTGCTTGACTGCAAGCTGAGGTTAAATCATGCCAATATGGAATTGCAATTCAAAATAAGTATTAGCTTACCTGACCAGAAAGCGATGTAAACCAACATCAAAACTTCTGTAAGAAAAAAGATTCACAATATTTTTATTATTAAAGGAATATTTTTCTCTTGGGTATTGTACAGACACTGTATTTCAAAACATTAATACCAAAGATAAATATAAAGTTAATGGAATTGACAAACCAGAAGCAGAAGTGTAAGACACAATTTCTTTTCTGTAATGACATGAAATTTAAGATGATCATCTTTTAACATGATTTAGATGCATGTTAAAAAGCTCACAAATTCCTTGTTGTAAACTATTAACATTTAGACTATTATAACCCACATAAAGCATAAATTGTGTATATTGTTATTGGAAATAATGTCAGCATCCTGATGACCAGCAAGTTTGCACATTTCGTCACGTGCAAGTAGATCCTCTGTGCAAAACTAGTGTGGAATCCTTTCTTTCCCCGTTTCTGCTCTGTACTGCACTAAAACACAAGGGATAGCTGTGAATTCTCTCCATGATAAAGAATAACCAAAAACCCCCTTATGTCTCCTTCAGATATAGAATATACCAAGAAGTAGACCTTCCAAGTGTGTTCCGCTCAGATTGGTGAGGAAATTAACTTTGAGGCCTTCTGACAGTAAGTACAAGTTAGATCACATTAGATTACAAGAACCATGTCTGAAATCTTCAGCCCTAACAACATACATTGACAGTAACTGTCAGTGTTTCTTTCCATTTTTAATTTCCTCCATTGCTCAGACAACTCAGGAGAACCAAGCTCACAAACAACTAATGGCAAATCTTTGATGCTACATGAAGGTATCTGCTGATTTACCGAATTTCATTTACCTAATATCCTAAGTACATGCCAACTTTATGTGACTACCAGTATAATCCCAGATTAGGCGTGTGCCTAATAGCACAACTGAAAAATGCAAATGTCTTATTTCCAGTGCTAGACTTGCTCTGAAATGGGCTTACATTTCAGGTACACAGAAAACAGCATTCTATTCCAAAAACCATAATTGATCATTTGAGTACAACACAGTCTTATTTTAACAGTACTGCTTGCAGTGTGCTGCTTTCTACCTCAAAGAGCAAGAGAAATCATCAGATAGTTAATGGCATCCTGATATCAGCAGATAGATAATGAGCTGCAGAAATTCTAGGAGTTAACAGGGAAGGAAATTCCACTGGTTCAGCTGGGTGGAGAGGAGCAAATTTTTCACTTAAAAGCTGCCTTGCAATAGAAAAACATTATGTCAGGAACATGAGCTGGTCATCATTAAACCTGTATTTTTCACATTCCTTTCCTGAAATCGTTGACCATTTTACATTATTGTTACATTACTGTGCAATTAAACTGCATGAAGTGCATCCAGTTATCTTTCTTCATTCCTCCTGCCTGGACACATACTGTAATTTGGCTCCCTCTCTTCACTAAAATATTCTGTGTTGTACAGACGGTTTGCAGTATCAGAGCTGCCCACAGTGTGTTTTTATAGCTCTGAAAACCTTTTCTTCCTAGGACCAAGAATTCAGTATGTTTTTGCTGGGATGGGGAGAAGAAGAAACTGGTACAGTTTCAGGAGAGAGCTGTATGCTGAACAGCCCTCTTGCACTTCTTCAGCCAAGCTCGTCTGCTCAAGGTCTTCAAGCTCTTCTCTGATGGCAGTAACCAATCTGGTACAGTCTCTGAAGGGACAGAAGAACCAAGCTTCTTGTGGACAGGGATGTGGAGCACAAAAATATCATTGCTTTTGACACTGAATCAAAAGCCAAAGGACTTTGCTTACCACAAGCATGGAAACTGAAAGGTCCTGCTAACTTGAGATGATCAGAGCTGAAGGAGGTTGGGGTGGACAAAGCTAAGGCCGAGTGGGTTCAGACAAGGAGGGAAAACAAGACAGTTTGTGTAGATATCATGACATGCCATCTCTTCTCTCATTTTTCACTCTTTCCAAAACATAATGCACTTGCTACTAAAAAAGTTTTGTAAGTTTTTTTCATCTGGGCTTTAGCTATTGACTATTTTTTGGAAATATTTTAATAAGTATTAAAAATGAACATGCATAGAAACAATTTATTAGAATAAATGAAAAAGAAAAATTATCAGAGCCTCACTAGGTGTAATTCAGCATACATAGATAGGGTCCGTTATTCCTCAGTTGATTTTGTACTGATACATTTCAACAGTCTACCCAAGATCCTCAGTTCTCAACAGTGTAAGCACTTGTTTAAGATGTAACTGTGCTATGACCAAAAGAATTTTGAGAATATACAGCATCATACGAATGTGCGCCTAGATCTTAAAGATCCCTCAGGACAGTATCATTGGTTAGGTCAAAAAGCAACAAGGCTGAGCAATTTCAAATTGTAAATGGAAGAAATGGTTGCATTACTTAAGGCTATGGATATTGTGTACATACATCTTGGTTAATGAATAGAAATATTTTGCAATGCAAAAATATTGAGAAGATAGGATTATGGGAGGCTAGTTTTGACAAAAAAAATACTACAGACACTTTTGACCGTTCTGCTTGTTCATATTTAAATACATACTGCAGCTAAGTCTACAAATGAAGTGAAGATACAGTGAAGTAGCAGAGGCAACAGATCTGGTAGATGCACCTATTCTCAGATGGAAAAGTTAAAAAGGGGTGAAGAGGGTTTGTAGAACAATGTTAAGACTGCAACCTCGGGGTGGAACAAGCACCTTTGTTAAATGAAAAAAAGAGAACAAATCACACTGTTTTGGCATTAAAAATGTCATAGCAACTCCTTCAACATCAGAGGACTCCACCTATGAGGCATGACAGTGTCCCTCACAATTAACACAGAATTACACCTGCCATATAAAATACATCCATATTTACTTGATATTACAGTATAGTTTATAATGAGCTTCACACGGCTTGTAAAATCCTGAGGTTCTCTGCAAAATACACAATTTATCTGGTAGTTCTTGCAATTTAGGGTGCCTCAGTTACATAAGTTTCAGAAATGCTTTCAGAAATCCTGTAACGAGCACAAATTTTCAAAATAAATGTTCTCATTAAAATCTAAAACAAGAGAAAGGATATCCATAGCAATATGAGTGAAAAGTGATTTACCAGTTAGATTCTCTATTCTATTCAAATGTCACTAGCAATATAGTATTTCAAATTTGTGAAAAATAAGTAAAATCTAGTTTATCAAAATAGTAATGGTCTTTGGACAGAACAAAATCTTGACTAGTCAGTGGAACAATAAAGGGGAGATATATTTAACCTCAATTTCATAATCATAATTACATATTGCAGATAATTTGATAGGGTTTTTTTAATAAAAACATCCCTAATTCTGTTCCTCTGAAGGGTAGTTTTGAATCACATCTCTATACGCATGTATCAATGCTTTTGTTAAGCATGGAAGTTTTAGTTTGATAGAATTCAACAAATGGTTATATGTACAATCCATCATCATCAACTACACTAAACCAACAAAGACCCTTTCCAAGAGGTCTTTGAAACCTCTGCCTCCAGGCATACATCTCTCTCCTCAAGGTACATTTTCAGAATTATTTCACAGACGTGCAGCTTCTGCTCTGAAAGCTAAATGCATAATGCAACAACCTGCCTCCAAATTTGCATTCAGCACAAAGCTGATGGGGGAAATTAAAAAATTATACGCACATGTCATCCATTGGATTGTTCATGGTCCCACTTTCCACAAAGCTGTGCTTTCCTTTAACTGAGGTCCACACTCTGGTTCCTCAAAAGAGGAATTGTGTGAGCCTTTAGCATACAACTTTTAAACTCAATGAAGTTATGCCAGCCTATTCTATTTAAGGACTTGACCCCACATTGACCTAGATGAAAATTGCTTCTTAGTTTTAGGGACTACAATTCACAATTCCAGTATGATGGCTAAAGGACTCCCACACACAACGAGGTTTGATTGTTGAGACCTCATGCCTAATGATTTACAATGATATAAAAAACATAAGTACTGAGCACATGTCAGGGTCATAAGAATCAATTTAAAGTTAAGCTAACTACTGGAGACATTTTTTATGAAATTAATTGCAACAAATTTGAATCACCCAACCCTGATTTTGTATATCCATATTTTTAAGCCACGTGCTGAAGAGAAACCAGTGCAGTTTGTTTTCCGCCAGTTCCTCCCCAGGACTGCTGGGCTGCACGCTACTCCTGGAAACAAAGCATGCAACATGCAGCATAATCTGAGAAGATTTGGCTAATCATGCACTTCAGCAAAGATGCCCTCTGCAAGCAGGCAGTACATCACCACTCAAAAGTAGATAGTGGCATGGTTCTTACTTTGGGCCCTACCTTCAGGGGAATAGACCTACATAGATAGTTTGCCATTTGATAAAAAAAAAAATTAAAAAAAATTCAGTAGATGAATGTAGCTGAAGACAGGTAAATGTGATACTGTATACCCAGAGACTGTATTGCATAATAGACAGAAATATCCCAGACACCATAAAAACAGTTGTGTTGCCAGTAAACACTTCTGAATGCAGAAAGAAGTAGTCTAACTTCTATTAGCAGGAGAGGAGTTCAAGCAGCAGCACTACTCCACATTTCCCTGGAGCAAACAATATAATTGCACTTGAATCTCTTCAAATCATTTAGTCTAGTTGCCATTTATGGCAATGATGAAATCCAACAAGTAGGTTAATTGTTCTAGTTCTAGTACTCTGGATATTCACCATCTCAAAAATAGCATTGTAGTTGCTGCAATGTTTCAACAACGGTTCTTTGCCATTCCTTTTAAAACATGGCTAAACTTGACATTAGAAAGTCTTACTCATTCCCATATCCTCAGAGTAGCCTGCCCTATTTAATTGTAGAACTGTGTTTGCAAGACCAGCACTTCCATTAGCTGTCTTTGCAAATAAATGTGGCATTTAGCCAGTGAGCTGCTGACCAAGAGTCTCTCCCACAACAGAACATTTTGCACTGGAGACTGAGAGGTCATTGAATGGCATCTGCTTTCACTGACACAGCGCTCAAGTCACTTCATTGTTCCTAATTCTCAAGCAACTGTCTTACT